ATCTATCTATCTATCTATCTATCTATCTATCTATCTATCTATCTATCAATCTTCCCCTCCCTTACCTTGGATCTGTAGGAGACACACAGAAGAGTCAACCCAATCGGACCCCCAAGACAAAGGATGCCCACGTCTGTGGCAGATGTTGCGCTGAGTTCTTTGAACTACCGGACCTGCTACAGCACAAGAAGACCTGTACTAAAAATCAACTGGTTTTAATTGTGAATGAAAGCTCTGTATCTCCTTCGGAAGCCTTCCCTCCGAGCCCTCCTAAAGATAATCCCGATGAACGGAAGAACAAGACAGATCACAACGTGGATCAAGTTGAAGGCAGCAACATTCCCGAGCGAGACGACAAACTTGACAAGGAAGAAACCATGGATACAGAATCTTCTTCCAGTGTTAGCAAAAGCACTAGCAGTACTTCCCAGACCGTCGACAGTACTATTGCAAGCAGTAACTGCTCCACCAAGGGTACCTCAGCTCTTACAACCTCTCTACCTCAACTGGGAGATCTGACCATGCTGGGCAATTTCTCCATGATCAATAGCAACGTCATCATTGAGAACCTTCAGAGCACGAAAGTAGCGGTGGCCCAGTTCTCTCAGGAAGCGCGCTGCAATGGCACCTCAACTCACAAGTTGGCCGTCCCTGCCCTCATGGAGCAACTATTGGCTTTGCAACAGCAGCAGATCCATCAGCTGCAACTGATTGAACAAATCCGCCACCAAATATTACTGCTGGCTTCCCAGAACACAGACTTGCCAACGACGTCTCCAAACCCATCACAGAGTACAGTACGAGCATCAGCCAACCCCTTGTCAACATTAAGTTCCCATTTATCCCAACAGCTGGCTGCAGCAGCTGGATTGGCACAAAGCCTCGCTAGTCAATCTGCCAGCATTGGTGGTATGAAACTTCTGTCTCCTCTACAGCTACCTCAGAGCAATTCTGGCAACACTATGATTCCATCCAGTAGCGGCTTATCTCCGAGTATTAGCCTAGCTACCGCAGCGATTACTACGTTATCTTCTGACAAAGTGACTACGAACACTGGTGTTCCACTGCTTGGCAACCCGGCAGGGACCGTGTCGTCATCGCCAGCTTTTGCAATAAGCAGTTTATTAAGCCCTGTATCAAATCCTCTTCTACCTCAACCCACTCTTAGTAACTCTGTGTTCCCCAATCCTTTATCCAATCTCGGAACAACCACAGAGGACTTAAACCCATTGTCTGCTTTGGCCCAGCAGAGGAAAAACAAGCCGCCCAATCTAGCCGCTTTTGAAACAAAAACTAATTCGGACGAAGCCTTCTTCAAGCATAAGTGCAGGTTCTGTGCGAAGGTTTTTGGGAGCGACAGTGCCTTGCAGATCCATTTACGTTCTCATACTGGGGAGAGGCCCTTCAAATGCAACATCTGTGGGAACCGGTTTTCCACCAAGGGGAATTTAAAAGTCCACTTCCAACGGCATAAAGAAAAATACCCTCACATTCAAATGAACCCATACCCGGTGCCAGAGCATTTAGACAACATTCCCACAAGTACGGGGATCCCATATGGGATGTCCATACCACCAGAGAAACCGGTCAGCAGTTGGTTGGACAACAAGCCAGTGTTATCCACTTTGACCCCATCTGTTGGCCTGCCACTTCCACCCACAATTCCAAGCTTGACACCTTTTATCAAAATGGAGGAGCCTCAACCCATTCCTATCAGTCACCCTTCATCTAGTCCTCCATCTTCTGTTAAAAGCGACTCTGGCTCCATTGATCCTGCGGGGAAGAACTCTAATGGGCCTCTGGCAGAAGGGGAAATGGGTGCTTTGCTGTCCTCCAGCGACAAACCAGAAGAAAGCATGCCCAGTGTTTCTTCTAGTGTGAACCACTCTACAACCTCCCCGGCAGCCGAATCAGATTCCAGCAACGTGGTTGCTTTTACCAGTCCTCTGATGCCTCTCATGTCCGACCAGTTTAAGGCCAAGTTTCCATTTGGAGGGCTGCTGGATGGAACACCAGCCTCGGAGACCTCAAAGCTACAGCAACTTGTAGAAAACATTGACAAAAAGGCCAGCGATCCCAACGAGTGTCTCATATGCCATCGAGTGCTCAGTTGCCAGAGTGCTCTGAAAATGCACTACCGCACGCATACTGGTGAAAGGCCCTTCAAGTGCAAGATCTGTGGCCGGGCCTTCACTACGAAAGGCAATCTAAAGACCCATTATAGTGTCCATCGTGCCATGCCACCCTTAAGAGTGCAACATTCCTGCCCCATCTGCCAGAAAAAGTTCACTAATGCAGTTGTGTTGCAGCAGCACATCAGGATGCATATGGGGGGCCAGATTCCTAACACACCAGTGGCGGAAAACTATCCCGAGTCCATGGAATCTGACACGGGCTCGTTTGATGAGAAGACCTTTGATGATCTGGATACATTCTCTGATGAGAACATGGAAGACTGTCCTGATAGTAGCGTACCAGACACCCCTAAATCTGCTGATGCATCTCAAGATAGTTTATCATCCTCCCCATTGCCACCAGAAATATCAAGTATTGCTGCTTTAGAAAACCAGATGAAGATGATCAATGCAGGGCTGGCTGAACAGCTTCAAGCGAGCTTAAAATCTGTGGAAAATGGGTCGGTCGAAGGGGACATTATGACAAACGATTCTTCATCGGTGGGTGGTGATATGGAAAGTCAAAGTGCTGGAAGTCCTGCCATTTCAGAGTCTACCTCTTCCATGCAGGCCTTATCCCCATCCAACAGCACAATGGATTTCTACAAATCACCGGGCATCGAAGACAAACCGCTACGGACTTTACCGAACGACTTTGCCAATGGTTGGCCTGTCGCCTTTGCCAACGGCGGTGCTTTGGACTTGACCTCGGGCCACCCAGAAAAAATGGTGAAGGAAGAACCGCTGGGCATGTTGTTTCCTTTCCGCGACAGAGGCAAACTTAAGAACACGGCGTGCGACATTTGTGGCAAAACTTTTGCTTGTCAGAGTGCCTTGGACATTCATTACAGAAGTCATACCAAAGAGAGACCGTTTATTTGCACAGTCTGCAATCGTGGCTTTTCCACAAAGGGTAATTTGAAGCAGCACATGTTGACACATCAGATGCGAGATCTACCATCACAGCTCTTTGAACCCAACTCAAACCTTGGCCCAGCTCAGAACTCTTCCTCCTCCATCGTACCTGCAAACTCTCTCTCGTCCCTGATAAAGGCCGAGGTCAACGGTTTTGTACATGGCTCTCCTCAGGACCACAAAGAGACACTGCCCAGCTTGCTTCCTTCAGGACCTTTGCTGCCTTCGGCGACATCACCGGTCTTACTTCCAACTCTGCCTCGGAGGACGCCCAAGCAGCACTTCTGCAACGCGTGTGGAAAGACCTTCTCATCTTCCAGTGCTTTGCAGATCCACGAAAGGACCCACACAGGGGAGAAGCCTTTCGCCTGCACAATTTGTGGAAGAGCTTTCACCACCAAGGGCAACCTTAAGGTACTCTCCTTCCCTCCATCTTACAACGCTCTGGTTTTCTTTTTTCTTTAGCTGCCCACTTGTGTCACATCCCCCCAACAGGATTCATATTTTGCACTAAGCCATAATGGGGTTGATTTGGTATTCGGCGTCCCTTCTTGGGTGGATCTAGCCCCACTGTCTTTTGAAAACCATGGTGTTATGGCTCAGTGTGTGTGTGTGGTGTGGACCTAAGGCAGGGGTTCCCAAATCGGAGTTGGCTGGAGAATTCTGGGAGTTGAAGTCCACAAGACTTAAAGTTCTCAAGTTTGGAGACCTCTGACCTAAAGGACTCCTGGGTGAACAAACCATGTCTTAACATGATGCGTTCACTGGGTCAGCCTGAGTGGTATGTGGGATCTGGGCTGTTGATTTAGCTCAGTGCTTTTTGCATGATAAATAGGACTTCTGTACAGGTAGTAGTTGACTTACAATATTTCATTTAGTGACCATTCAAAGTTACAACAGCACTGAAAAAGTGACTTAAGACCATTTTTCACACTTACAACCATTGCTGCTTACCCCATGGTTTATGTGATCAAAATTCAGACGCTGGACAACTGACTCACATTTATGACTGTTGCAGTGTCCCGGGTTCATGTGATCTCCTTTCACGACCTTTGGACAAGCAAAAGCAATGGGGAAGCCAGATTCACTCAACAACCATATTACTAACTTAACAACTACAGCGCTTCATTTAACAGCTGTGGCAAGAAAGGTCTTAAAATGAAGCAAAACTAACTTTGTAAATGTCTCACTTAGCAACATAAATTTTGGGCTCAATTGTGGTCATAAGTCGAGCACTGCCTATATAACCGGTAGGGTTTTCAAGTGATTTGTGAATGGCTGCATCCATGCGTTCTGAAACCATGGTCCAAACGGGAGCAGTGATAGCACGTTCTGGTGGGTGTATAACTTTCATGCTTTTGTTTTTTATGCAGTCATAAAATTGAAGCCAGAAATCATATTTAGCACATAACCTTTAGATTGCCAATCCTGGAATAAGAGTATAATGTTTTAAAAATAGAGGAACAGGTTCTTTTCTTAGGTGTAAATAGATTAAAGCATTTAACAGGGTAGGGTTTGAGTTATGATCATTTTGCCCATCACGGTCAAAACGCATGAGTTTGGAATAATAATTCAAAATAATTCAGTAATAATCTTGAAACCTTTTTTGTAGCAGTTGTTAAATGAATCCACAGTGGTTAAGTGAACCTCTAGTTCAGTACGGGTGGGGTTTTGCTGCAAACTGGAAGTACGGTAAATACCAGTGTTTGGCAAAACCATCCAAAAATATCGTCACGAGACTGAAGGACACTGCAAACAGCCATAAATACACCCCAGATGATGAACCTTTGAAGCGGGCGGGGGGCACATGGGTGGGGGAAGGGGACTTTGGCCCATTGAAACATCAAACCTGGGGTCATAAATACCCCCTTGTCCACCCCATAGGTCCATAAGAACTTCGAACAGTCATTAAGCGGCCAGACATAAATAAAAACTACTTTTATGTCAGTGGTGAAATGCTACCGGTTTGGCCTGGTTTGACCGAACCGGTAGTAAAAAAAAAAAAGCTCCAACGATCAGCTGAGAGGAAAAAGAAGAGAAAAATGTAGGATTTGTCCCTCACAAGTGCGCACTCACCGAAGTGGTAGGGAAACTGGTAGAATCCCACCACTGCTTTACATGTGTTTGTATGTCTGTGTATGTGTGAAGAGGTCATGTGTTTACTATCCTTGTGACTTCATAGTACAGAAATGACATGGTTTTTTTTTTTTTTTTTTGGAAAAGCCGTGGGAGGAGAAGGATTAACATATTTGTAAGTGTTGATGGACCAGGGATTGATTGGTTTTTTTCTAAATCCTTTTTTTAAATCCTTCTGCATACCTTTCCTGGTGGTGACTTCTTTTGTAACTCCTTCGTTACACTTTTCGTCTGTATTTTAAACACTGTTTTTCGCAATTCTGAACTTGCACAAGTGTTAAACAGAGAGAGGCACGTCCATTCTCTGGCAGAGCCAAATTCTGCTACAGAAGATAGAAATTCAAAATGTAGAGGTACCTGTGAGGTGCAGCTTAAGATTCCAGATTTTATCACTGATAATTTGAAAGGCTGGGAAAGCAATTTTTAAATGGAGTTTTGTTCACCTGTCCACCCCATTGCTTGGCTGAGCGTTCCTCCAGAAGTGGTTGCAAAAAAAAATATGAAATTAAAACATACCAGTGTCCAGGATCATTTTAATGTCAAATGGTCATATTAAAACTGGATAGAATTTTAAACACTGTTACGACTCCACTTTGAATTTTATGTGAGATGAGCAGCAAACAAAGAAATACAGTTAGTCCTTGACTTACAACAGTTTTTAGCGACCATTCAAAAATTTGAACGCTGGACAACTGATTCGTATTTATGGCCATTGCTGTGTCCCAAGGTCATGTGGTCACCTTTTCGTGTCCTTCTGACAAGCAAATTTAATGGGGAAACAAGGTCATAAAATGGGGCAGAACTCACTTAACAAATGTCTCACTTGGGCTCCATTGTGGTCGTAAGTCAGGGACTACCTGTTTTTCAATCTGTGAAGCCTTGACCTTCTTCTAAATTGGATTCTGGCCTCATTCATTTATACAGCATGGTACTTCAAGGTCATCTCAGATCATTTTTTTCTCCAACATGAAACTAACTCAAGGCAGTAATACCTTGTGAAATTTACTCGGGTCCTTCTCAATCATGGACCAAATCCCAAACTTTTTTCTTTTTCCAGCAAAGTCATTCTGTGGTGTGGATCTTCAGATCCACTTAGATCTACCTAGGATAGAAAAATAAGACATGATGATAAGAGACTCACCCAGTCAAAGCCAGAGATAAAAATTCTGCTGTTCTGTTGATTTGAGCTACAGTTTCCTCAAACTCTAGTTGTTGAGTAGAGTAGAATAAGAATAGAATAAGAATGGGACAGGACAGGACAAAATAGCAGAGTTGGAATGGACCTTTGAGGTCTTCTAGTCCAACCCCCTGTTCAGGCAGGAAACCCTATACCATTTCAGACAAGTGGTTGTCCAATCTCTTCTTTAAAACCTCCAGTGTTGGAGCACTCACAACTTCTAGTGGCAAGTTGTTCTACTGATTAATTATTTTAACTGTCAAGTGATGTTGATAGATAATGTTCTTTATTCCCACCTTAGACCAAAGTTGATTATCCAGATGTTGCTCAGTTGTCCCTCCCAGCTGCTGAAGGACAACCAATAGTGAAGAACATTTTGAGTTGTAAATCATCAACATCTGGAGGAATAACATCCTCATGTTGGAGGCCAAACCATTTAGTGAATGGTTGAGGGTGTTAGATACATCTAGTTCATCGAGGAGAAGACTTGAGGATGACAGGATAGTGATTTTCCAGTTCTTGAGAGACTTGTCAAAGAGAAAAGATGATTGACTTAGTCTCTAAAGCACCTCAAGGAAGGACAAGGAATAATGGGTGGGAGCTTGTTAAAGAGACACCATACCTGGAACTAACTCCTGACAGTGAGAACAATCAATCAGTGGAATAGGCTGCCTCCTGGGAGTCATGGTTCTCCATCACTGGAGGTTTTCAAAAATAGACTGGACAACCATTTGGCCAGGATGGTATGAGTCTCCCTGCAATGAGCAGGAGATTAGACTGAGGTCCCTTCCAACTCTGTGATCCTATGTTATATGTTCTATGCTTAGCTTAAGGCCATGGATCTCCACACTTGACCACTTTAAGATTTGTGGATTTCAATTCCCAGAATTCCTCATCCCATGGGTTTCAGTTCCCCAGAATTCCATGCCGGCTGAAGAATTCTGGGAGTTGAAGTTCTCAAATCGCCAAGTTTGGAGACCCTTAGGCTTAGGCAATAAGACTCAAGAGAGAGGCTACTGCACTCAAGACTACCTTGACCTACCTCACTGCCGCTGCTAACCCATGTCTCTTTCAGGTGCACATGGGAACGCACATGTGGAACAGCACACCCGCCAGGCGAGGCAGACGGCTCTCCGTGGACGGGCCCATGACTTTCCTCGGAAGCAACCCCGTCAAATTTCCAGACATGTTTCCAAAAGATTTGGCCGCGAGGTCGGGAAACGGTGACACTTCCAGCTTCTGGAATCAATACGCTGCGGCCCTCTCCAATGGTTTGGCCATGAAGACCAACGAGATCTCAGTCATCCAGAATGGGGGGATCGCCCCCGTTCCCGGGAGCCTGGGCAATGGCAGCAGCTCCCCCATTAGTGGTTTGACCGGCAGCCTGGAGAAATTCCAGGATTCGGAACCTAACGCGCCTCTAGCTGGCCTGGAGAAGATGGCTGGCAGCGAAAACGGGACCAGCTTCCGGCTCACCCGCTTTGTGGAGGACAGCAAAGAGATTGTAACGAGTTAGGACGAAAGGTGGCGGATACTTTTGTGCAGTTTGTTGCAATTGAAAGTGGGTTGGGGAGGGGGTTGTGTTGCAGGTTTTCCCCCCTCCCCTCCGTTTGTTCGTTTTTGTTTGTTTTGGCAAATCCACGACACAGAAACATTAAAGACACATCCTTTTTGTACCCGTTGGACATCTAGAGTTCTAAAAACAGCTTATTTATTAGTGATAATAACTTTTTGTTTGTTTGTTTGTTTGTTCATGGCTTTGCAGGGATATGCAAGCGTTAAAAGTTCTGTAAGTTGAAGTAAATACTAATTAACTAGAGTGCTGTAACATTTATGGCAACCCAAGTCTGTTTTGGCCAGACGATCTCCGGTCTGGCTTTTTAATTTATCTCCTTCCTTCCAGTTTTAACCTAAACGTTTTGGTGGTTGTGCGGTGCCTCCAGCCCTTTCCGCCACACTTCATCCCTCTCCCGCGCGTGTAAACACAAAACAAACGTACGCACCTGTGTGCCCTTCCATCCTGATTGAAACTTTTCTTGGCAAAGAGGTTGCTTTAATTGCACAACCAGCTCTGCGCCCAGGATTAAAAACGGACCACGCTAAAAAAAAAAAAAAAAAAAAGTCGAAGGATACCCATTCCTTTGTCGTGGGCTCGATTTGATTTTCGTTGGTTTGGTGGTTGGCAATTTATTTTACTCGACGCATTAAATTGGCTACGATTACGATTATGATTAGGTAGATTTCTTTTGTCCCCTTTTAGAAATGGTCCTCTTTTTTTGTATTGTGCTTTTTTACTGGAGTCGTCTTAGATGTCCGTTTGTTTCTGTACAGTAAACAAGCACGAGATGATTAGCGAAAACCCCACAGTGTTGTTTTGCTAGTTCGAAACCCTCTGCCTTGTAGGTATATTATTAAAAAAAAAAAGTACTGGACTTTTGTGCTGCTAAGATTATCTTAAACCACACCTTCCATGGACAACTTAAGATGCTCTTGTACATACAGTGAGAAATATCAAGATCATTAAAAAAAATGTACATATCTTCTCAGCGAAATCAACGTCTTGACTAAGGGAATAACTTCAGTGTTGTTTATTTTATATTGGGTATGACAGGAAAACAAAACAGAACAGAACAGAACAAAAATATCTTTGGACTGTTATATGCACTTTCTTGGAAAGCCTGAAAAGAAATAAGTCCAGTTACTTTATCCTTTAATACTTACTAACAGCAGAGAGAGACTGTAATTTTCTGCCAGTAATCAAATACATTTTTTTTCTCTCCAACAGATGAAAACTGGATTGTGTGTGTCTGTTTTAACGAAGATGATTTCTTCCAGAATATTTGGGGCCTTTTAGGGGAATGGGACAGTTAAAAAGATGGGAAGGGGGACATGGAAAAGTGCTGAACAGGAGGGGGATAAAGAGTGGAACTACAGCTCCTATCAGCCCCGGCAAGCAGGGCACGATGGGAAGAACAAGCATGGATTTTCAAGTCATGAATCTAGTCTGTTGGTGCCAAACCCATGCCACCGTAGTCCTTCGTTAGGTCTGTTACGTTAAAAAATGGCGGCTTTTCACACTCACTCCTATTTTATCGTTATCATTTTGTTCAATGGAGGGTCTTCTGTTGATGGTGAGGAGACATTTAAGTGGCCAGGGTCGGGATATTCTGTGGGAGGACAATGCCATGCCCAGGGGAAGTTTGAAAAAGGCAACATGGCGCTTGCATGTTGAGTCACATTTGTGAAATATGGCAGGGTTTTGCTAGCCTTCTCTGCTGTTCGGACATTTTCTGTGGGTATAGGATAGTCCTCGATGTACGAGCACAATTGAGCCCAGGCTTTATGTTGCCAAGTGAGACATTTGCTATGTGAGCTCCGTCCCATTTTACGAACTTTCTTGCCACATTGGTTAAGTGAATCACTGCAGGTTGTTAAATGAGTCACACAATTGTTAAGTGAATCCAGCTTCCCCATGGGCTTAACACGTCAGAAGATCTCAAGAGACGATCTCATGATCCCAGGACACTGCAACCATCATATATGTGAACCAGTTGTCCATCATCCGAATTTTGATCACACAATCACAGGTATGCTGCAATGGTCATAAGTGTGGAAAGCGGTCTGTCAGCTTTGGAAGTCATACTAAGACCACCCTGCTCCCACCCTGCCCCATTCTTGAGCCTGGGAAAGTGGGAGGGGGGAAATTTCTTGGAGTGTATGTAGTTAGACATAATAACATTCTTTTTGTAATTCAAGGTCATGTTATTTCTGCACCTGGGTGAGGGGAAGTCTCAAGTTGGGAGGAATGGTGATTGGGACATGTGATGTGATGATGATGGGTGCAGGGGATGGATTTGTAGTTTTTACTTATTGCAAGGAAGCCCAGAACTTTCAGATTTGGGATTCCCCAGTTTGTGCCAGTTTACTATCCAATTAAAAGAGAACTTTTGCGAAGATGCCTGTCTCGGAGTTATTGGGTGGAGTGGAGGTTTTCTGGAATGCTGACACGGTCCTAAGTTACATTTTTCAGTGCTGTTGTAACTTTGAATGGTCACTAAATCAACTCTTGTAAGTCGAAGACAGCCTGTACTGAAGAGGTATTTTGCTTTTGTTTTAAATATATATATATAAACTCTTGGCATGAAATCAACCTCAGGGCTTCAATGACTACAAGGAGTCTTTGACTTACAACCATTTCTTTAATGACAGTTCAAAGTTATGACAGAATTGCAAAAAGTAGCTTAGACTGTTTTTCATACTTATGACCATTGCAGCATCCCTGTGGTCACATTATCAAAATCCAGATGTTTGGTAGCTGACTCATATTTATGACAGTTGCAGTGTTCCGGAGTCATGTAGATCAGGGATCACTAACCCTTTGGACCTCAGGGACCACCAAACTCATAATTTTAAATCCCGCGGACCAGACACCCTGGGAAAATCCCCCCAAAAGTCTGCAGGATAATTCCCCACCCTATTTTCCTACCAATCGATCATTTTTTTATTTGGGATTGCAGGATACCGTCCTCCATCTCTGTTCTCAGGAGGAGAGAGAGAGAGAGACTTTTGGCTTCATGCAAGGAAAGCAGCAGAAGCAGCAGAAGTCTTTCTTTCTCTCCCCCAAAGTCCACCAGAAATGAGTCTTTGCGAGACTTGTGCAGGCACAGCCTCTTGGAGCAGGATGCCTTGCAGGATCCCAAAGACTCATTTTTGGCAGAGTTTGGGAGAGAAAGAAAGATATTTGCTACTTTCCTTGCGTGCAGCCAAAAGCAGAAAAAGAAAGAAGCAGCCTGGTGGCCAGGCCAGGCAAGTGGGGTAGGTTCCCCCCCCCTCTGCCCTTTCCCCCCTCCCCTCACTACTTCAAGTTGTTCCCAATGGAAGGGATGCAAGCCTTGTGTTCCCACGGGCCATGTGGGCATTGCAGCCTTGTGTTCCCGCACAGCCTGGATTAATTGCTTTGGGGGTGACATTTCTCTGCGGACCACTAGAATTTTCTCATGGACCACCAGTGGTCTCCGGCCCACTAGATGCTGACCACTGATGTAGATCCCCTTTTGTGACCTTCTGATGATCAAAGTCAACAGGAAAGCCAGATTCACATGATAACTAACTTTACAATTTCATGCTAACTTAACAACTGTGGTGATTGGCTTAACAACTAGCAGGAAAGGTCATAAAATGGGTGCAAAACAGCTGCCTAGAAATTTGGTGTTCGATTCTGGTCATAAGAGGAGAACTATCTGTATTTTTAGTCTTGTTCCCACCTGGCGATGAGAAGTTGCGATTTCCGGGTTGTGATAGAAAAGCATTTTAAAGTCAGGAGAAAAAAACAAAATTGAGTCGGAAGCCAAATATCTCTGAGTCGTTCGTCGTGCTTTAGAAAAAACGTAGACGGAAATCAATTGTGCTTCTTCAGTAATTTGTTAGACTTATGTTCCACTTTGCATTCAGGAGAAAAAGATGCGGTAGACTAAGTGCTTCCTCTTCCCCTTCTGGCTTCCAAACCACACACATAGAAGGTGGGTTGGGATAAATTATGGTCTGTAAAAATTTGAAATTTTCAGGGAAGGATATGTAGTTTTTCATTCCTCCCCTTTTTTTTTTCCCACCCAAAGGGAAAAAAAGGGAGAACATCTATGGAATACTTCCTTTGGAATGCTTGTTATAGCATAATATACAGTATGAAGATTATAATCCTCAGTATTAAACTAGGATTATTCTGGGTTCCTTCATAAAGCTCTTGGAAGCCCAGATTTTCCGCAGGAAATTTCCATATGTGGATGTCTTTTATTTTCCTAATCTTGGATAGCAACATGTTCCTTTGAAATATTTAAAGTTTACATAAACGAGACCAACAATTAGACTAATATGTTTTTAGGTTTTAGCTTTGCTGAACTACCTTGTTTATAACCAAGTAATCTGAGAAATTTTGATAGTTCCGTCCTGTGCATGCAGGTTTATAGAAAACAGTTTTGCATTTGTGCATGGAGACTCTCAGTCATGCAGGTCATGGTTGTCCAAAAGGTGCTTTTCCAAGAGTCAACTGGACTTTCTTATTTTTTCTTTGAAGACCAAGAAGCTTCTGCAGCTCTGTTGGACAACTCATTCTCCCAAATAAAGATTGGGCTGGATACACAAAATCGCCAATGGCTTTCATACCAGGTTGTCACAGGAAAAGAACGCAAACTTAATTGTGACAGTCAACACTGTTGCCCATAGATCAAAGCCACTGTGTAGGGGTGATAATGGCTGTATGAGAACATCAAGAACATTACGGTTGTGCATTTCTATCATCACTTGATCCAGAAGAGGAAGAAGAAAATTCCGAGAAGCAGAGATGTTATCCAACTCGTTTGGTTTCATTTGGGAGAACGAGTTGTCTATCAGAGCTGAAGAAGCTTCTTAAATGAGATGCGAAATATCTTCAAAGAAAACTAAGGAAGTCCAGTTGCCTCTTGAAAAAGCACCTTTAGGACTGTTGCATTTGGTTAGCTGATCCCATAAAACTAAGCAGTAACAAGCTGTGAGATGTTCTAGGTACAAATAATGCATACCACAGCTGGTTTTGGAGATTTCATACTCGAATCCATCAGGCCTAATCCAAGCAGAGAATGAAAGAGAACCATTTTGCTTGGCGCATGGACTAAAACAGAGAAAAGGCGAGTTTATCATTATTTTGAAATTATTACTGTTGCTCCTGCATATTTCTTTTTAGCTAAGGGTGGTGCTCAGCTTGGTAGCAGGACCTAACCAACCTTGGCTGATCTCCAAAAGCTATGAAGGACGAGGCCTACTGAGGAGAGGCTGTAAAGCTAGAGGCTAAAACAGGAAATTGAAAATAATCCCACGAGAAGGTAATGACAAATGACTAATGCTCTCCTGCCAAGAAAACTGCAGGAACGCTCAACTTGAAGCATATCTCACCTTTTTAGTTAAGTCTACACAGAAAGGAATGGAGTCTATCAACAGATATTTATACTCAAATAAATCTAATTGAATTGATTTGAGCTTACTCTCAAGTAAGTGGTTGTTCCAGGCTATTGCATGGAGTTTTTTGCCCCCTGAAACACTTTACGGATGAATGCCTGATTTAAGAGATTTTCAAAGTTTGAGGGAAAAGAGTCTCAAGTAAACCGAAGGGCAGATAAAATTGCCCCTTATGTTTTTCTTCATGTTCTTTGTTCACATCAGATCACTTGTGTGGAAGTATTGCCACCATCATTGATTGCATCTCCTCAAAGGAAAAAAAATCGCTGCTTCATTATTGCAACTGAATTTTGGAAATTCTTTCTGCTCATTGGAGCTTTTGACGGGTTGAGTTTGAGGGTTTTGATATTTGTTGTTGTCTTCTTGTTGTTTTTCTTCAAGTAATGCTTCCTAATTTTGAAGCTCCTCTGGATGGGCTTCCTTTGGAAGTCGGGCTTTGGCATCATCCTGGAAGGATGCTGAGATTTTGTACACACTCTTGCAAATTGTGGAGTTTTTCTTCAGCAAACTCGAAAAGCAACGTTTCATTATTTTTGTTTTTAAAGAAGGCGGGGATATTGGATGAAAAAAAAACAGCAAAGTCTTGCAGCATTAATCCAGGTTTTAATTTGATCGCTTAGAGTTGCAAGGAGATCTTCACAGGCAGTTGTAATCGTCTTTCGTGACTTGTGTAACTCTCCTGCATTTTTAATTTATTTATTTATTTTCGGCTACCCATTTCAGTTGACGTGATGGAAAAGGTTCTCTTCCAACAGACAAGCAGGATTCTGCTGAAATTTTAATGGGGATGG